TTGCCTCCCCTTTTCAAGGCTGAATAGTCCACATTTTGTTTATCACGCATCCATAGATGGACACCTGGGTTGCTTCCACCTTTTGGCTGTTGTGAATAACACTGCTATGAACATGGGCGTGCAGATATCTGCCTGAGCTCTTGCTTTGAATTCTTTCGTGCATGTACCCAGAAATGGCATTGCTGGATCTGATGGTAATTCTGTATTTAATTTTAATAGTGCTTTTTAACAGTTATGAAATCATAACATTCTATAAATATCACAAGAAGGGGAGAAATTTTATAACCACTTTCTGAGGATGGTGCTAAAAAATCCCTTCTCTGGGGGTCAACTCAGCTGGTGACGTGACGGGAAATGGAACAGAAAGGGGACGGAACTGGGCTGCAGGTGGCGAATGGGGCCTGACCGCTGCCCTTCCCCAGCTGGGGATGCTGCACCCCCATTGTGACAGTGAGCAAGTCTTCCCAGGCAGGCTGGGGGCACCTGCCCTGGCTGGGCCTTGATTCTGGGGGTGCCAGTGGTCTAGGACACTGAGTTCTGCTGCTCTGAGGGGCCCCAATATTACTCCTCAGCTGGGCCACATACTTTCTGCCTCCTTCCAGGCTGAGGAGAAGGGAGAAGTGGGTTTCAGGGAATAAAGAGTATTTTCTGGTAATTACTGATTAGTCAGGGCCTGAGGCCAGGGGAGGGGTCTGCATGGCCACCCCACCCCACCCCTTGCACTTCTTAGGATGACCCGGCCCCTAAAGGAAAATAAAAAACAAAGCGTATAGTTTTTAAATCTCCCAGCTGAGAATAACCCTAACACATCAGCCCAACCCTGGGGGTGGGAATGAAAAAGAGAGGAGTCCTTTCAGTCAGGATATCTGGGATGTGACCTGCTGTCATTAACTGTGTCACTAACTGCTGGCGTCACCTTTGGCAAATCACTTCATCTCCTGAGGCGGGAGGAGGACAAGCTGATGATAAACAAGTACTTCTGGATTCAAAACAATCGACAAATTTATTCCACAGGGGCCTCCAATAGACCTCTGACTGTTGCAAACTTTAAGAGGCTTAATCTCTTCAGGTCAAAGGTGAGAGAGGCCTAGCTTGCCGGGAAAGGAGCCTGATAAAAAGTTGTGCCAGCGCCGAGCGTCCCCCTCTAGGGGAGACGGAGGGCAACTGCAGGAACGAACACAAGCTGGTTGAGGGGAGAGGGTCCGGGACGCCCAAGAAGGGGGCGTCCCAAGCGCCAGGTCCTGCTCTCCCCTCCCAGTCTATCTATCCCCGAGTGTCTGCTGTCCTGGGCAGACAGCTGTCCTGCAGTGTCCTTGGTCCTGTGCCCGCTGTGCCCCTCCCACAGGGAACATTCCCGGCCAGGAGCCAGACCTCACTCTGGGCCAGGGCCCAGCTGTGCAGCCTTGAACTTCACTTCCCTGAGCCTCAGTTTACTCATCTGAAAATTGCGGACAATATCTCTTAGCCCTCAGGGTTAACAAGTTTAATGGAGATGGTGTGCGAAAGCGCTTGGTAAGCAGCACAGTTCCCGAGAGAAGGCTCTGGGGAAAGTCCTTGTTCCCTCAGCTAAGGAGTCACACTGCCTCTGAGGAAAACCCACGGCCTCAGGGGTTTCAGCCCTGGCTGGCTCTCAGTTCTGTTTTCTGGTGACCGACATTCCTGTTTCCACTCTGCGCTCACCCTGGGGCTCTTGCCAAATGCATATCCCCACAGGCCTTCTTCCCTTCCCAGGGACAAGAAGCCAGGTATGAGACGTGGTGACCAACGGTGCTGGCATCTGGAACCAGGTCTGGGCAAGGGCAGGTCGGGCTGAACTGGACAGCTTTCTTCTCTTCCTTATCAGTGGTTTTCATAACCAAGCCTGGAATGCTGGCCCGTGGATTTTGAACCTCCACTTCAGGATAGAGTTCAAGTGCGCTAGACAGAGGTCAGAGAGCTTGCTCAGACTGTACTCCACTGGGAGGCCACACGCCCCGGACAACAAGGCCCTCACCCTGCGCAGCCGTGGGGAGCAGAGCTGAGCTTTGTGGTGTGGCAGGGAAGATGGGGTGGTGAAAAAAGTCAGCAGGGGCTTTGAGGGAGCACAGAGGTGGGCCACCTAATCCGACCTTGTGGATGACAGGGTTGCGGGGCAGTAGGGAAGAGGGGGGGGGCCTCCCTGGAGGAGGAGGCATCCCAGTAGAGTCTTAAGGGTGACTTGGGTGTAGTACAAAGAAGAGAATTTCAGGCAGAGAGAATAACGTGAACAAAGGCATGGAGGAGAGAAGCCATAAATAACAGTGTAGAAACATACCATGTTTTGCTGTGTATATTGCGCTCCCGTGTATAATGCACACCTATGTTTTTGGCCCAAACTTTCAGGGAAAAAAATCTTTTGCTTTAATTTTTTAATTCAAATTTGTATTTGTGTATGTTTAGGTCTCTGTTTTTTGTATTATAAAGGAATTTTAGCATTTATTTTTTAACATTATGGTACAAGAAATTTTATGTAATGAATAATTACAAAACACAAGAACAGATACAAGGTACAAGAAATTTTATGTACTGGTAACAAATTTACCATCATAGAAGGCCAAGAACTCTTTGTTGTTGCAAGTTCGTTGTTAAGTTCAACAAAACCAATTATGGTGTTCCAGGGCATTATTTTGCATATGGATATTGTTATTGATTTCTAGAGTTACACTTTTAACTCATAAGCATAAATAAAAGAATTAAAAACACTTATATAGATATGGAATTAGTACTACCCTTATATAATGCGCACCCTTATTTTTCCCTCACAAATTTGGGCAAAAAAAAGTGCACATTATGCATGGCAAAATACAGTAAGTGTATTTAAAGCATGGGGACGCAGAAAATGAGGCTGAGAAAAAAAAAAACAATGGGCCCTATCTTTTTATTGGAACCACAATACCAATAATTTGCAGTGTTCCTCTTATCTTAAAAATAAGGAAATAGAATGTCAGAGAGATTAAGTAACTTGCCCAAATCACACAGCCAGCAAGTGGCAGAGCTGGGATGGGGACTCTAGAACACAGGCTCCTCACCAGTGAATTAGAGAGGGGAGGCCCACCTTGGTGGGGTCAGCCAGGTGGGGTCTGAGACACCTGGTCTTGGGCTTCAACTTCCCTCTTTCAAACTCTCCTATCTGAGCAGAGGGCTCTTTGGTTTCCGGCTGGCAGCTTGGTGCCCCTTTGATTATTTTCAGGCCTGCGTCTGCCACAAATAGAGGGGAAGGGGGCAACGGCATGGGAACCAGATTCCAGCCCTGTTGCAACACCCTTTTATTACTTTAATTTATACAAGATTTGTATTAAAATATAGCCAACTGCAACGTTATTTTTATTTTTTTTTTAAGATTTTTATTGGGGAATTGGGGGAGGGGAACAGATAAGTTGCTGTCCTTTTGTTCTTCAGTCTAGATGTGGAGGATGTTGCTTCACTGGCCCAAGTTGGCGCCATCATTGCGCTTTTCCCAGGCAAGGCAGATCTGTTGCCGGCTTCTGGACGGCCGCTCACTGCGGCTGCTGGCTACACACGGTAGCCCATGGCAACCCACTGCAGCAGGGGCTGCAGCTTACTCCGTGGCAGGCGGCTCAGGGCAGCCCAGCTCCAGGTTGAGCTGTTATTCAGCATCTTCGCTGTAGAGGGCAGTGTCACTGGCCCTCATATGTGGGATCCGAACCGCGGCCTTCTGGCGTCCCAAGCCAGCGCTTAACCAACAAGCCACTCTGCCGGCCCCCTGCAATGTCATTTTAAATAGCAGGACTGAGGGCTGGTGGCCAAAAGAGCTGCCTTCCAGGAGGCCTTTCTTTCCCTGTCTGTGAGTGTGGCTGAAGGAAACCCATCCAGAGTAGCCCCCTTGGGGTGGGGGTGTCCCGGAATGTGCCTGATTCTGTCTGGCACTGCTGATGGTTGGTTCCCCCACAGAGACCCAGATGCTCAGGGTCTGAGAGCTGCACTTCCCAAGCTCTGTTCCTAGATGCCAGGTCCTATGCAAACGGGGAGGCCAGGCCGCACCCACTCCAGCTGCCCCAGGAACCTTGATCCAGGTTAGGATCAGCCTGAAACCCCAAATTGAAAAGCACATGCTAATTAAGCAGCGGCTGGTCCAGAAGCCTCTCGGCCTAGACCTTATTTTAGTGCTTTCCTTTCCCTTCAGACTCAGCTGTGAGGCCACCCTGTCAGCTGCAGGCTCCCTGGGGGAACTTTGTAGGCCCTTTCATGGTTGCTGCTGCCAGCCAAATACCAGTTTCTATCTATCAAATCAGGAGGGTGGACTCGCAGGTTTTGACATGGACTGAGCACCTGTGGCCCAGGCCTGTGTCAGGTGTACCCATGCCATCTCCTAAGCAGAGGCTTTTTTTTTTTTCTTTGACAGACGAGGGAACTAAAACTCGGGGACTTGGAAGAGCAGTAGGTAGAGTTTTAAATAGAGCCCCGGTCCCTGCTGGTGCTGCGGGGTCTCCTGCTCCGCCCGTGGGCACAGGTAGGCACAGGGAAGGAAGGCGCCTTTGCGGCAGCCAGTCTTCCGGTGTCCAAGCCTCATCATAGCTCGATTAAATCAGAATCTCTGGGGGAGAGTCCCAGACACTGGTGGTTCTTAGGGATCCCGAGTGATCCTGGGGGCAGCCGGGGCTGCAGGCGCTGCTTTACAGGAACGGGGAGAGGCACCTCGCCGTCTCCAGGGCTCTCCAGGTGCTCCTTTCGCAGCGTAACCCTCACCCCGTTCACGAAAGCAAAAATAAAAACCGACCAGTGATGGCTAAGTCTCCTCCTCTCATCAAAAGAAACGGGAGCGAGGGGCCCCGGCTGAGCTCGCCCCGGCCCGGCTCGGGTCACCTGAGCCCCGGGGCTCAGGTGCGGCGGCAGGAAGCCACCCCTGCGGTCGGCCGGGGCGCGGGGCTGTTGCGCCATCTGCTCGGGCTTTCGCAACAGCACCCTGGGGCCGAGAGACACTTCAGCGCGAGTTCCTCAAATGTTTTTTCCTGCGTTGCCAGGACGGTCCACAGCTCTGAGTCACGTGCAAGTGGGAAGTCGCGTTGACACCGAGCCCGGCCAGACGGAGCCAAGCCGAACGCGGCGCGGGGCTCGGGGACTCGCTGGGCGTGCCGAGCGCGGGCCCCCCGGGGACGCGGGCTGCTCTCCTGGCCTGAGCCCGCCCGCCCGCTGCCCCGCCCCGGCCGCCCGGTCCTTCTCCGCCCGCCTGCCTCCCTAGGACCTCGGGCCACTAGCCGAGGAGGAAGCATGCTGGCCGTCCGCTGCCTGCTGCTCACCGCCCTGCTGGCCGCGCCCCGGGCGACAGCGGGCCCAGGGAACTGCCCGGTGCTGGGTAAGGGATTCGCGCGCACCTGGAGGGCCGCGCCAGCTGGCGGGCGGGGGAAACCGCTGTGGCCGCCGCAGACGGGGGGCAGCTGGAGGGAGGGGAGGAGGGGTGGCGGCTCCCCTTTTCCGTGGCTAGCTTAGGTCCCCACGGTGACCCAGCTGTGCCGTCGCGGGCGGGGACTCCGGGTGACCCAGCTGTGCGGTCGCTGGCGGGGGCTCTCGAGTCCCCTGCTGCGTCCCGCGTCTTTGCGGGTGACGGGCCCTGCGGTCTGTGTACAGGACTTGGTGTGTTCTTCGAAACTTGATTCTCCGGTCTCCTTCCAGTATCTTCAGGAGACTGGACACAATTGCGTCCCGGGGTCATCTGAGGGGAGACACCCTAGCCGGGTGGAGTTTCGCCCAGGGCTCCCCTCTTGACCCTGAGCTCTGGGGCGCCACCTCGCCTGGCTCACCCTTCAGCCCCCTGGTGTACGTGTGGATGACAGTGCCCTGACTGTGAAGGGACTGACATCACCGGCGCTGAGTCACGACCCCCCCTCCTCTGCCTGCACTCCTGTCACAGACACCAGCTCTACAAACTGTGTCCCCAACCCCGGGACTTTCACCTAAGCGGGGAGGCTGTCCAGAGATTGGGACACCTTGGGGAAGGCACACACTGGACTCCCCTTCCAGATGGGAGGAGGCGGCTGAGGCGGAGGGCAGGGGGCACTTTGGCTCCTGTGGACAGTAATCTGCCCCAGGCAGCCAGGCTTTTCCTCGGCTCTGGCCGCGTGCCCAGCTGCGTGTCTGTCTCTTCTCTAGTCCGGCCTGGCAACTGCTTCTCCAGAGGCTTATTTCAGGGTCTGAGGGCTTCTTTGAAGGCACGACAGGAAAAGCAAGGGGGCAGCCGGTAGGCTTCTGGGAACGGATGGCTGGGAAGACTGGTGGCTCTGGCTTTTAGTCCTAGACTGCTCTGCCCTCCTGGCCTTCAGCCAGCCTGATCTCTCCTGCTGGGAGATAACGCTTTAGGGCTAGCGTGCCTGCCACTCTCAGCTTTCTGGGTATTTGTTCCTTGTGCCTGGAGGAGGAAAGTAAAGAGGTTCCTTTTCTTGGCACACTTTTACGAGCTCTGCCAGTTGCAGCTGCTGTTGATTGAGGCCTCCTCTGCTTTACATATGTTTTCTAATCCACCACTGGATCTAAATATACCTTGTTCCAAAGAGAGGCTGTGATTGGAGGTTGTCTGGCCCCGTTGGTGGAGGCCCACCCCATATGGCCCTGAGCTGCAGAGGAGTAGATCCCCAAGACTCCCAACTAGAACTAGCCCAGCAGTCAGAGCTGGGGGGACTTAGGGGCAGGCTGAGAGTCACTCCTGACTGGACGAGTCCTGAGGCAGAAGAATCCCAGGGAAGGGAAGTGGAGACCTGGGCTTGCCCACCGTGGGGTCGGAGGGGTGGCCCAGGAGGGAGTAAGGCTCCCCTGCCTGGCTGTGTTGCCATCACACCACGCCCAGGGCACCTGCCCCAGGACGGTCACCGCTGCAGCTGAGGCTTCCATTCACTGGCTTCTAAGTGGTCATCTGGCAGGGGGCCGGGGGGCAGCCAGCTGCCATCAGTTCTCCGTTCCCTGGTGCTCCGGAGGGTCGGGCAAGGTGGTCTCAAGGCCTGGACAGCCCATGAAAGGCAGAACTGAGAGTTTGGGAGGAAGTGAAAGCCCTCCCAGTACAGAAGGAAAATGCAGAGAAGTAGAAAATACCCAGCTCCCCTCTCACGCCCACGTAGACTCAGCCCACAAACTTGAGAGTAAAAACAAAGACCTTGCACAGGAAGCATGGAGCAAATGACTGCGAGATGTCTCGCTTTGGAGAAGTGAGGGGCCGAGGGGTAGTGGCGGCGGAGCTGGGTTGGAGGGGAAATCCACCGGCTCTCAGAGCCAGAGGCCCGCTTTCCTGGGCATTGGTGGCCGCCCACATGCCAGGAGCTCAGGTAGACTTGAGGTCCAGGGGCCTGGATGAGCTGGGACTCAGGAGCTGGGGGTGCCTGGCTACGGGTGCCTCAGTCTCCTTCTGCCTCCTGCAGTGCAGAGCCGGTGGCACTCAAAACACTCTTACACCTCTAGGTCTCTCAAGTCTCAACTTCAGAACTTCCCATTGGGTCAACCTCCTCCTGACCCCAGGGCTCACCAGCTTTCTTAGCCTCACTCAAGATCAGTGTTCCTCAAAAGGGTGTTTCTGGGTTTAGTTGTATCAGAATTGGTGTGTGTGTGTGTGTGTGTGTGTGTGTGTGTGTGTGTGTGTGTGAGGGGTGGGGCTGGGGGCTTGACAATAATGCTCATTCTTGGCCCCAGATTTACCGGAGAGAAATATCTGGGAGTGAGGCTCTGGAAACATCCTTTTTGACAAATGCCCCTTGTGATTGGCAGGTGTGAGGATGACGGGCCAGGCCAGGGTGATTGAGGAACTGAGTGCAGGGCCTCCCCTGGTGGGCTTCCCCTTGCCATAGCCTCTCCTTGCGTGGGCTCCACCCCTTGTTTACTCATTGCAGCGAACACTGATGGAGGCCACTAACGGCCCTACGGGGCCTCAGTGCCATCAGCCACCCAGACTCCACCCTAAAGGGGCTTGAAATGGTCACGTGTGAGTCCCTGAGACGGACTGAGGAAACCCAGCTCTCTGACCCGCCCCACTCAGTACCAACTACTCAAGGACAAACGGTCAGGGGTGGGAGTGGAGGGAGGAAGCGCCTCTGATTGAGGGCCAAGACCCCAAGGCAGCAGACATGTGGACCCTGACCGCATTGCCTCATCTGTGACCCTCAGCGTCTCGCCCTGGAACTGGATAAACAAACCCTCCCCTCTTAGGTGTTTGTAAGGATTACACAAAATGGCTCACGTGCTCACAGCAGTCCATAGCCACCCGCCCCTCTTCCCCTGTCTCACCAGGCCTGCAGGCCACCAACCCAGCAAGCCAGTGCATTCCTGGTACCAGTTTGGGCTTTTCCAGGTCAGTCTTAAAGGCTACAGCTCTGTTCTCTGAACGGTAGTCACTTCCCAAGTGTGGCTATTTAAACGAAATGAAATCAAATTAAAAGTGTAGTTCCTTTGTTGCACCAGCCACATATCAAGTGCTCAATAGCACACATGACTAGGGGCCTCCACATTGGACAGCAGAGATCTAGGGTCCTTGCATCATTGCAGAAAGTTCTATTAGACAGTACTGGTCTAGAGCACTCAACAATTTCTTCCAGAGGTTTTCTGTTGCCTCTTCCTTTATTCTTCTCCAGACCTCCTCCTGTCCGCCCGATCAGCGTGTGCAGGTAACGGCCAAGGCTTCGGAGCTAGGCAGACCTCCTGGAGCCCTGCTGTGTAGAAGTGATGTGAGCTTAGGTGGTGCTCTGACCTCCCAGAGACTCACTGTCCTCGCCTAGAAAACATCAATAATTACACTACCTCACAGGGTGGTTACCTCCAGGGTGGTGATGAGGATGAAAGGAGCTAAGGAAGGTATTATACAGTGTCTAGAAAAGTCTAGCACAGAGCAAGCGCTTCAATGAGGGTAGCTTATAATTCATGCGTTTGAAAAAAAAAATATTTTGAGCCCCTCCTGTGTTCCACGCACTATTCTCAGAGCTGTAGATAGAGCAGTGAGCAAAACAGACCAACATCCCTGGCTCATTGGCACTCCATTCTAGCGGGGATGTAAATTAAGTATAGAGCGGATGGCGACTGAGGCTAAGGGGGGAAAATAAAGGATGGGAGGGAGATAGGAGCTGTATGTCTATGCCGAGGGGACATGTAGACTTGGTGTTTCCCAGGGAAGTTCTCACCGAGAAGACGATATGTGAATAAAGGCCTGAAGGGAATAGAAAGATGTTTAGGGATTCCTTATACGCCTGTCAAACAAAAACCTTTCATGGTCAAAAGCTTTTCTGGCAGAAAGCGTTTCTTGAGCCACATGCTAGCCTGAAGAGGAGCAGGCCATGGGGCGTGCCGTCTGCACGACCGACCAGCAGCGGGGCTGGGTGGAGAGGGCAACACGCGCCCGTCCTGGAGTCCACAGGTGCTTTCATACCTTAGGTCTGGGGGAAAAGGTGCGAGTTGTTATGGAAGAACTTAGGATGGCTGTCAATAAAGGGGGCGGGAGAAAGTGAGACGGGGCTGGTTCTGGGATAGGCCGCAGTCCCTGAGGAAGAAGTCTTTGCTTCTCTGGATTGGCTGTGGGTAAGAGTCTGGAAATTTTGCGCAAAGCCAGAATGATCCTGGAAATAGCCACCTGGAAGTTAACTCAGTGCTCCAACATACACTCGGGAAGGCGAGCAACGCTGTTGGTTTTGCCCGGTAGCTGTTAGCTGATTAACCTCTCCTGGCTCTTCTGTTCACCTTCCGGCCTGCTAAGTGAATCCGAAATTAATTTAGGATGCCTCAGAATTTTCTCCTCGTCACGCCCGTCTTGGACAGGAAATGTCCCGCCTCTTCTAACAATCTGGTGCTGCCTGAGGGCCTGGAGCCCTCGGTGGAGTCCTCGGTGGGAACACAGGTGCCCCCCGTTGTAACGAATGTTGGGGTTGTCTCTGGAGAGACTCCCGCCCTTGGGCTCCTTAGAGTCCAGCTGGACAAGGAAGTGCCAAATGTCATTAACTGCATTGACAAGTCTCGGGCTGGCGTTTCAAGGGGGAAGGTTGCAAAGACAGGCTTTTAACTCTCAGGCCCGCTGGCTGGTGAAGCTCGAGGAGCTTCTCTTGGGTAGTAAATCTGTGCTTGTTCCTCTCCTCTGGTCTTGAGACCCCGAAGAGGTCCCAAGAGTCAGGGGCTTTTCCGGCGCGGTCCTGGATTCAGACTTGACTTCCAGCTGCACCTCAGCAGGCTCCCCCACGCCCAGCTGCCCCTGCCAGCTCGACCCTGTGGCTCTATCCTTAGGAGCGTGCCCCTGAGGCCCACACCCCGGCGGGCTCCCAGCACCTGTCGCCAGCTCCCCTCCACCTCTCCCTAAAAGCATCCTTGGTCTTCCCTCTCTACATCATGGTTCCACTA